TAGGTCAAACCGTTCTTGTCTGTCAGTCATATAATGGAGGTCTATGGTCACCACCTCAAAGAGCATGCACAGAGAAGTCCAAATTAAACATGATTTAATGACTCGTAAATGTAAGTGCACATTGATGGCCTAAGACACGAAACGACCCACATGTTAAAAAAAAAAAAAAAACACACATCTTGGATGTCCTTGAGGTAAGCTAAAACATACCAAAAATTAATTTCACAGTGAACTAACTTTTCAAAAAATATAACAGCTCAAGAATTCTCCAAAAAAAAAGTTCTTATTATAGAGCTCAGGTTGTTTTAGCAGGTTCTCTGAGGTTGTCCAGCTGTGTGGAGGGCCAGGAGGACAGATGTGTGAGTGAGATGACTGTCAGACTGTGCGAAAGACCAATAAACACTGAGGTTGGAGATTGGCCCCGCCCACCCGCTTCACCCCGCCAGATTCCTCAGCCTGCGCATAAAAAGCTATCGAAGAAAAAAAAAACATGCTGTTTACTACAGAAATTGGGTCTTAGTGTGAGATTTGGGGAGTTTAGATGTGTGCGAGTGCAGTTGTGTCCAATCTTTACCAAAAGCAAGACATCACGGAGATGACTAGTGGTGTTCATCGGGTCGGATAGTATAATGTATTGTAAACGAACAATGCATCTAATGTTAACTAATACAACCTTTGATTTTAATAACGTATTAGTAAATGCTGGAATTAATATTAACTAAGATTAATAAATGCTGAAGAAGTATTGTTCACATATTGTACATGTTAACTAATGTTAACTAATGAACCTTATTGTAAAGTGTTACCTGCATTCTTTCTCCATGTCACCTGCACCCAGATACACTCTAAACAATGTTGGGTTAATTTAACCCAAAATTGGGTCAAATATGGACAAACCCAAATGTTGGGTTAAAAATGTAATTGTAACTTCAACTTTCACTTTCAACTGTAAATTTTTTTAAATGACATGTTTTACCCAACATTTGGGTTTGACCATATTTGACCCAAATTTGGGTTAAAAATAACCCAGCATTTTTTAGAGTTGTATTATTTGTAGATTAACCCTGTAAATTAACCATGCAAAAGTGGTTAATCTACAGGGTTTTCTGTTAAAACTACAGATTTTTGCATTTTTATATTGGCTGCATCCGAAATCGCAAACTTCCCTACAGTATAGTAGGCAAAAACAGAGACAAAAGAAATAATATGTCTGAATTCACAGTCCTCATATAAGAATAGGCAAAATGTTATAGGGATGCACGATATATCGGCCACAATATCGGTATCGGCCGATATTTGTTCATTTTTATGTTATCGCTATCGGCCCGATAATAAAATTTGGCTGATATATTAAAGCTGATAAATAATGAAAGACACTTAAGATGCGCACTGTTCAACATGATTGATCTTAATTGCTTGAAATATGATTGGAATCAAAGGAAAATATAGTTTAGTGCAAAATGTGCCGTCATATCGGCTACGTGAAATTATAATGAGAACATTATAATTGTGTGATTGGGAAATGGCTTTTAATTGTGAGGCTTTTGTTTTAGTAATCAGGCTCTCAAAAATTATATAAAAATTGGATTTAGATTTATCGGCCGGTATATCGGTTATCGACTTTCAAATATAATGAATTATCGGTTATCGGTATCGGCCAAAATGTTCACATCGGTGCATCTCTACAAAATGTCTCCGGATAACATTCATACACACATTCATACTATATAGAACGTATAGCTACACTCTAAAAAATCCTGGGTTGTTTTAAAATGGTTGGGTCAAATATGGACCAACCCAAATGTTGGGTTAAAATGTAATTTAAAATTTTAACCCGACTTCAACTTTCACTTTCAACTATAGTTTTTTAACTGACATTTTTTAACCCAACATTTGGGTTTGTCCATATTTTAGAGTGTATAGCCAAAATCATAAGTGCATTATGGGTATTGAAGTTTTTGCCGAAAGGGAAAACCTCTTCTTCTCTAGTCATGTAGCAATGATTTCTATTGTTTCTACTGCCAAGTTTTATTAGAAGCCCATTTTGCCAGTGGAGAGTAACAACTTTAATTACTTTAGAGTCACATATATATATATATATATATATATATATATATATATATATATATACATGACATACATGTCCCATACATGGGTGGCTGCATCACAAAGTTCTGTCTTAGGCTTTGCCACCTTCCTGCTGTTTCCCGGGATTACTGCTGCTGTTCCCCAACAAAGCCTGAAGGATGTTTGCACAGCTGGGTGACCAGAGGGAGAGAGAGAGAGAGAGAGAGAGAGAGAGAGGGGCTTCAACTACCCCAAAAATATCAAACCTCCCAATTCCCCGTTCAGCACTTGCTGTGTTTTCTCAGTGTCAGTGTAAAAGGTGCAGATCTGCATCAGTATTTATTTGCTCAAGATGATGACCCGACTGTGACACAGAGTTCGGGATTTTTCAGAGAACCTGCTTTGTTCGAACTGTCTGCTATTTTTGCTTTTATTACTGTCTTTATTGTGTTTCTTTTATTTGAATTGCTGTTTTTTTATCTCGCCAGAATGGAATCAGTGTCTTTGAAAGTCTTGATAGATGATGGCGTGATTCTCTGAACAGTTCGGGAATTTGAGCAAATGCCGAGGGAATGTTGTTGTTTTGGCTTGGTTTAAAAAGAACGAGATCATCATGACCATATCATTTAAGCACTGAAACCGTTTCATAATGACCAATAACATATTGCATATTCCAATCTGAAATTCAAAACTTGCTGACAAAAACACATTGGGTTTGTAAACAAAGTTTTGATTGGAAAAAAAAACAAGGTACGCAGATGTTGTTACATTAGTATGTAAAGCTCCGCCTTTCAAGACAATGTCACATTGATTTCGGTCTTTTTCTTTTGCAATGCCAATGAGAACATTTTTTTGCACTATACTCTTAAAAATAGTGTTTTTGTATTTGCATGAAAACCTTTAACATATACAATCTTTCACAAAATGTTCTTTAATAGTGTAAAGATTCTTTAAAATGTTCTTCACAGTAAGACAAGAGGGTTCTGATCACTGAAAGGTTCTTTAGGAAACAAAAAATGGTTCTTCTATGGCATTGCTGTGAAAAACCCCATTATTTTTAAGAGTGACGTTACGCTTGTTTTAACACTGTAAAAAGAAAGTTGCTGCTTTACATTTTTAAGTTCAATCGACTTGGACGGTTAAGTCATTTCAACTTATATTACATTAAACTGGCTTAAAAAAATTAGTTGAATCTTATATAACCTATAAAAAACGTTATGTTTAAGCAATGTAAAAATATGTTGCCATAACTTTTAGATCATATATTGTTTTATAGTGCAAGTCTGTCGCCTTATTATGGAAGCTTGTTTCCGCCACAGAATGAACAATAAAAAAGGTAATTGCGACTTTTTTTCTCACAATGAGTTTACATCTCGTAATTCCGACTCAGAATTTATTACTCAGAATTGATTGATATAAAGTCGCAATTGCAAATCAGAAGTGTCAGAAGTGTGAGATAGACAAAAAAGTCAGAAGTGTGAAGTAGTCTCAATTCTGTCTTTTTTTCTCGTAATTGCTTCCTTATTTCTCACAATTGCGACTTTTTTTCTCAGAATTGCGAGTTTATATCTCATAATTCTGACTTAATTTCTCAGAATTGCGAGAAATAAAGTCAGAATTGCAAGATATAAAGTCAGAGGTGTGAGATAAAGTCTCAATTCTGTCTTTTTTTCTCACAATTGCGACTTTTTTTCTTAGACTTGCAACTTTATATCTTGTTGCAATTGCGACTTTTTTTCTCAGAATTGCGAGTTTACAACTCGTTATTCTGACTTTATTTCTCAGAATTGCATGATATAAAGTCAGAATTGATTGATATAAAGTCGCAATTGCAAACTCGCAATTGTGAGAAAAGTCAGAAGTGTGAGATAAAGTCTCAATTCTGTCTTTTTTCTCGCAATTGTGACTTTTTTATCAGAATTGCGACTTTATATCTCACAATTGCGACTTTTTTTCTCAGAATTGTGAGTTTATCTCATAATTCTGACTTTATTTCTCGGAATTGCATGATAAAAAGTCAGAATTGCGAGATATAAAGTCAGAATTGTGAGATATAAAGTCAGAAATGCGAGATATAAAGTCAGAAATGCAGTATATAAAGTCGAAATTGCGTGTTGTAAAGTCAGAAGTGTGAGATAGTCTCAATTCTGTCTTTTTTTCTCAGAATTGCAACTTTATATCTCGCAATTGCGACTTTTTTTCTCAGAATTGCGAGTTAACATCTCGTTATTCTGACTTTATTTCTCAGAATTGCATGATATAAAATCAGAATTGCGAGATATAAAGTCAGAATTGCGAGATATAAAGTCAGAATTGCGAGATATAAAGTCAGAATTGCGTGATATAAAGTCAGAATTGCGAGATATAAAGTCAGAATTGCGAGATATAAAGTCAGAATTGCGTGATATAAAGTCAGAATTGCGAGATATAAAGTCAGAATTGCGAGATATAAAGTCAGAATTGCGAGATATAAAGTCAGAATTGCGTGATAAAAAGTCGCAATTGCGTGTAATAAAGTCAGAAATGTGAGATATAAAGTCAGAATTGATTGATATAGTCGCAATTGCTTGTTATATATAAAGTCAAAATTGCGTGTTGTAAAGTCAGAATTGTGAGATAAAGTCTCAATTCTGTCTTTTTTTCTCGCAAATGCGACTTTTTTCTCAGAATTGCGACTTTATTTCTCACAATTCTGACTTCATATCTCGCAATTGTGAGATAAAAAGTCACAATTATTTATTTATTTAATTTATTCAGTGGCGGAAACAAGCTTCCATGCCTTATAGACCAGCTAAATGAGTAAATTTTTCAATTTTTTTTTATCAACAATACAAAAAAATGCATACAAACTAAACAGTCTGCAACATTACAGCATGTGAACAACACAGTTCCCCCTTTTCCCTGTATATCATCCTGGAAGTGCATGAAAGTACCTGGCTGTAGTGGTGGCGGTGGGCAGGTCGAGGTCACTTTGGGGCTTTTAGCACCTCTGCAGCTCTCTGGATCCGTCCGGCAAGGAGCTGCAGGAAAAATCCCAAACAGATGTCGTTCATGAAACATGCATTTTCAATTACTCGCCCCCCTTTGGAGCGCGCCGCATGCACACGGCTCTGAACGCAACCCAACACGGCCCTGCTAATGCTCAGGAAATATTACATCACTGAAAACTAAACTGGTGGGTGTAAATATATTTTTGTGACCAGTTAACAAACTTAAGACTCCAAAATCCTCTCAGATTGACTAATATCCCTTCCTGTTGGCCGGAAAAACAGCGGGAAGTACCCAATATTACAAACAAAACACCTCACATTAAATGTAATCTAATTCAGAGGTGACAACAAGCATTATCGTTAACTAAAAATATTAAAAACATTTCTGGAATGAAATGCATGAAAGCTGTGAAAACCAACCGTAAAAACTCCCTTGAACGTCCCTCCAGACATTGAGGCCTGTTCACAGTTCAATTGGGACTTTTTATATTCATTAATGGCAGCAACTCAAAAGTAGTTGTGCATGCTGATGAAATAAGTATATTTCATAAACACCCCTGCACCAGGCAACCAGCCACACCTTTTTACAAAACTCGCCACCACGCCAAGCATGACTCATTTTCTTAAAAAAGGAGAAAAAAACCTGTTTATTTACTACAAATGTTAGTAAAACATAAATCGTAAAGACTCTTATGGGAAAGACTTACAAAAATGCACCTGGACAACATTTTTTCTCCAATTAACACTCAAACGTCGTTGGCTTCCAATACACAACCATAAAGTAAAAGTGAAAAAAACCCCACGCAAACAAGTGCAGGATATCAACACTGAGATATTTACAAGGAGTTCATAACAAATCAAAGCGCTCTTCGTTTTATGTGTCGTTTTGGCAAATTGACACACAGTTTGTTGAATCTCTCCCCAGATATCGTGCTGTTGGTTGGAGGCCCTGAGAGTTTGGCATGCCGCTCGAACTGAGACGTCAAAGCGCTCTCCATCATCTCCGGAAAACCTCCGGGACTTTATTCAGAGGCAGAGAGCCCAGTTCCTTCTGAATGAGAGATGGGTGAGCCAGTCTTTATTTTGTGAAGAGCAGAGAAAGAGCAGCAGAACATGGCGAGGGAAACGAGGGACTAATATTTTGCAAAGAGCTAAGAGCTACAATGCTGTATTTCCACTTTTCCCAGCTATTTAACTTCACATCAGAGTCCTTGTTGGCCGGATTCATGCCAGTTTTGTCAGGCACTGGTGGCCCGACAAGAACTGTTGTCTTTGGATTGATGCCTCGCCCTTCGAATGCTCAACCTACGCCACACGTCTGCCAACACAAACCCCCAAAGCCACAGCCCTCACACTGCTGACGGGCAGAAATTAATGGTGAAGGCCGTACATGGGGCTATTTATCAATGGCCGCTCTAAAGCGTGGGCTGTGGCGAGGGTGCATCATGGGAGCCGTGCCACTGGGAAAAGTGTGTTAGAGCATGAGAGAGAGAGAGAGAGAGAGAGTAATTAGCTTTGGTTCTGGGTAAAAACACACTTATATGCGAGGCATGGGAAACGCTACAAAAGATCGGTCTTAGAAACTCATAAATCCCAGTAACTGATCTCACTGGCCATGTAAAACTGCTGCCCGGAGCAATGTCCCAAAGAATAATCGCTTACAAAGATCAGTAAACAAACTAGGTTCTCAAGAATACAAAACACTACGTCCCTGCGGACTAGGGGAACACAAAAACCCCAAAACACTGTCATGAAATGCTAAAGCAGGAGCAACTCCGCCCACTCAAATATGACTCCGCCCTTCTGATGTTCTCACCAGGGTTGTTGGTTAAACAAAACTAAAACAATAAAAAAAAAAACATTTTGTTTTTTGAAATAAAATAATCGTAAAGTGAAATAAAATAAAATATTTTATTTCAGCTAGTTTTTAAAAGCAACATTTTTATTTAGTTTAATGTATTCAAATTATATATTTTTTTTATGAATAATTATATATTTTTAATTATATATATATTATAAATATTGTATGTGAAAAAAGATTAAATCATTTTTTTCACCTCAAAACTTGATGTTTAATTGTAAAACAGCATTTATATTTATTAGGGCAAATCAATGATTAATCATATCCAAAATAAAAGTTTTAGAGGCTTGAGATGTGTAAATGAATGTGTAAGAAATTACACTCTTAGAAGAAAAGGTTCTATTTAGAACCTTAAAAGGTTCTATCAGCGCTACGTATTTGGAACCCCTAAAAGGTTCTATACACTCTTTAAAAAAGGGTTCCTCTGGGTATACCATACTTGGCCAATAGAACCTTTTACCAAAAAAAAATATGGTTCTATATAGAACCATTTTGGAGTTCCATATATGAAGCGGGGGATGGAACCATTTATGGTTCTAAATAGAACCATTTCTTCTAAGAGTGTAGGAGAAAAAAACTGACAAATGTCTTGAAATACATCATCTGAACAATGTTTTGAGGCGCGGAAACCATAGTATTTGACTCCAGGACTTGAATTATTGAAAAATAATGCACACCCAAAGCGTAACGGCCACGACGTGATATGAACAGCAACACAAAAGCTTGATACCTGCAGTATAGAAACTGTACTGTTTCTTTTCACACCACACGTCCGCCAGGAAACGGGCTCGGCTCTCACACTCACCCACCACAACTTATTGAAATATTAAAATAAAATGTTGTGGTTTGAGGTAAGCTAGTGTGAGCGAACGGCAGCCGACCGCAGACTGCGCCCAGAGATCTGTACAGCCAAACGGGCCTCAAGCACCAACATTTCCTCCAGCAAACTCAGGTGGCTCAGAACCTGGCCCTTTACCAAGCGTTAAAAATGTGCCTCATTAAATCAATTGCGGCCTGTATTAAATGCTTGGATATTTATAGGCATTTATTTCGTAGAGGCAAAACTCATTCTCTGCCTTAATAGCACACCGACTTGTTTACCTTTTGGCTCTCCGTGTGGAAGTTTGGGTGTCACCTCATTAAAAACTTTATCACCTTACATTCTCGTGTTTTTATAAGATGCAAGCAAATGCTCTCATTAAAACTTTTTTTTTTTTTCACTAGCGCATATAAATAAAAGCAGAAAAACGCCACGCTGTCTCTCTGTCTGGCACCTGAGGTGTGTTTCTGGCCCGTTTATTTGCTTGTAGTCGTGTTTGAAGTGAAGCTCTCGCCGCGGTCTCCGTCCCTTTTGTCTAAGCGTCCACTTCCTGTGCTGAAAATGGAAAACTGGGCGAGTGGATTTTTTTAACCGCCACGACTTCCTACACAGGTGTACGAAACCTGCCCGTGACCCTCGTTTCTTCTGCTTTGAAAACACATAAAACCGGGCGTTTCAACGCCGCCAGAAACAGCCTTTGGAAAAAAGGTCAACAAAAAAAAAAGGTATTAGAACTGCAGAGGAAAGATTTTCCGTTGTAAATTTGAAGGGGGGCCGAGGTACGGCTCAGGCCGGAGCGTTTGACGACTATGAGAGCGGTGGAGAAAGACTTCAGCTGTGTTTGGCTCAGGAACCTCAGAGACAACCGTTAAAGATGAAAGACAATTCAGGACTGTGAACCTATGAAAGGGATTTGTTGCTGTCTGTAGCTGCAGTGTTGGGCACAATGCTAAATATTTCTGCTGATAGCTAGCTCTACTAGTGAATAAATCCCACAAACACATGAAATAAAGAACAGGACTATTTTCTTCAGCTTCTCTGTGAAGTTTTTATGCTACTTTAAACAGATAAATGTGTTCAACAGAGATGAGAGTACTACACTCGTTAGGGATGGGGATGTGTAGAACTTGTTTGATGTGTATTAAAGGAGTAGTTCACATTTAAATATATATATATATTAGAGGTGGGCATAGATTAATTTTTTTTTTTTTTCAAAATTTTGAAATTAATCTAGATTAATCTAGATTAAAATGGCTCATTTGAATTCTACCAAAGGCGTGTGCTATATACCCAAATAAATAACCTTGCAGGTAGTTTGTAATTAGGCCTAAATATGTTTTATACAAGATTTAACACTGGAATGTTCATATTATTATAAATAATGAGAGTAATCACTCACCGACAAGAGTCTCACGTTAACGCAGCACGTTAACGCCGATAACGGCCCACCCCTAATATATATATATATATATATATATATATAAATAAAATAAAATAACAATAAAACAAAATATTATATATATATATATATATATATATATATATATATATATATATATATATAAATATATAAAATGAAATAAATAACAATAAAACAAAATATATATTTAAATGCTTCTCAACAAGATTACTTTTTCAAAATAAACTATTGGAAAATTAGTTTCAGTACAGGAAAAAAACATTAAGATGCTGCATCACCTACAAGAAAAATGTTCCTGATCTTATTTTGCATAATTAATTCATGCATGTCAAAATAAAAATAATAATAAAATGAAACAATATTGCATTAAAAAAGTAAATCTCAGTTATGATGGATTAAAAACACATCCTGCCCAACATGACTCACATTACTAAAGTAAAATGGTTTGTGAATGCAGTTTATTTTGGCAAGAGAAGATTCAGATTGGAAAGGCAGCCTAACAGACACTGTGATTGCTGGTGTGTGTGTGTGTGTAGTGATAATGGGGTAGATGGATGCGTTTGGGGTTACAGGGTGAGAGACAAGATGAGAATCAGGGTGGAGAGACTCATTTAACAGAGGCACAGGGCAAAGTCTGGAGAGGCTATTACCACACACACACACACACACACAGGACGGCAGACATCCGCACCTGCGGCTCTGACCCGTCTCTGAGCGTCTGCTTCTGTCATTATGGGTCCTGTGAGGTCAGGGAGTGTCTCGCTGCCAGCGTGCCAACCGTCAAATAATCACAGCCTGTGTCCATGTGCTCCGTTTCACTCGTCATGTGATATAATTATTCATAGAAAAGCAACCGCAGCAGTATAAACACGAAAAACCTGCAAAATCTGAAGGCACCACAAGAATCCAGAAAATCCTGTGCAATGCCGCACGCAACCACAGCTAGAGAAACACAAATATTCAACACTTACGAACACAACACACACCCCATGCTGATCGCCACACTAACAAATCACACACTTCTCAAGGAATACATCATAACATTACATCTTTGTTTCTTCTTAAATGCATTGCAGAACAATGACATATTCCGACAGCTAGAACATGCGCTCCTCAGGCCAGCTGGGCGAATGTCGAACCACTGGCACTGAACGAACCGTCTGACAGACGTGGAACTACAGTTTCAGCACAAGGTCACGACCAGCAGAAGATCTGTTGAATTTGAATCTCATTTCACAACTACATTCATTTTAAGGTTGCTATATTGTTGCTAAGGTATTCAGAGCTTTTTTCTTTTATTGCATGTTGCTAGGTGCTTACTTACTGGCCAAAGGAGTTCACCATCAAATATCTGATATTCTGGTCTTGTAAACATACATCCAGTCCTACCTTGAAGTCTATCCAGTCTATTTAAAGTAAAGTAGCGTAAAGTAAAGTAATGTAATAAAAGACAAAATGAGCCAAAGATGGTTTGCTGGTCTATTTAAAGTAAAGTAGCGTAAAGTAAAGTAGCGCAAAGTAGCGTAGCGTAAAGTAATAAAAGACAAAATGAGCCAAAGATTATTTGCTGGTCTATTTAAAGTAAAGTAAGTAGCGTAAAGTAGCATAACGTAAAGTAGCATAACGTAAAGTAAAGTACTAAAAGATAAAATGATCCAAAGATGGTTTGCTGATCTATTTAAAGGAAAGTAAGTAGCGTAAAGTAGCATAAAGTAAAGTAGCGTAAAGTAAAGTAATAAAAGATAAAATGATCCAAAGATGGTTTGCTGATCTATTTAAAGGAAAGTGAAGTAGCATAAAGTAAAGTAGCGTAAAGTAAAGTGATAAAAGACAAAGTGAGCCAAAGATGTTTTGCTGGACTATTTAAAGTAAAGTAGCATAAAGTAAAGTAAAGTAATAAAAGACGAAATGAGCCAAAGATGGTTTGCTGGTCTATTTAAAGTAAAGTAAAGTAAAGTAGCATAAAGTAAAGTAGCATAAAGTAAAGTAGCGTAAAGTAAAGTAATAAAAGACGAAATGAGCCAAAGATGGTTTGCTGATCTATTTAAAGTAAAGTAAAGTAGCATAAAGTAAAGTAGTGTAAAGTAAAGTAATAAAAGACAAAATGAGCCAAAGATGGTTTGCTGATCTATTTAAAGTAAAGTAGCGTAAAGTAGCATAAAGTAAAGTAGCGTAAAGTAAAGTAGCGTAAAGTAGGGTAAAGTAGCATAAAGTAAAGTAGTGTAAAGTAGCATAAAGTAAAGTAGTGTAAAGTAGCATAAAGTAAAGTAATAAAAGGCAAAATGAGCCAAAGATGGTTTGCTGGTCAATTTAAAGTAAAGTAAAGTAGCAAAAAAATAGCATAAAGAAAAGTAGCGTAAAATAAAGTAAAGTAATAAAAGGACAAAATGAGCCAAAGATGGTTTGCTGGTCTATTTAAAGTCAAGTAAAGTAGCGTAAAGTAGCATAAAGTAAAGTAGCGTAAAGTAAAGTAATAAAAGACAAAGAGAGCCAAAGATGTTTTTCTGGACTATTTAAAGTAAAGTAGTGTGAAGTAAAGTAGCGAAAAGTAGCGTAAAGTATATTAAAGTAAAGTAAAGTAATAAAAGACAAAATGAGCCTAAGATGGTTCCTAGAAGGAAAGGTACAACAGTTGTCTCTGGGCAGTATCCTTTTAAAAGGTACGCCTTTGTGCCAAATAAGTGCCTAAATACCTCAAAAGTACCAAAGGTGTATATATCAGTACCTAAATCAGCTAAATGTTACATATTAGAGCCTTTTTAAAGGGAAGCTTTCCAGTGACAGCCTTTGTACCTTTTTTTCTGAGAGTGTAAGATTGTTTGCTGGTCTATTATTAATTAGTCCATTCAAAAGTTTGCTTGTCTAAAAAAAAAAAAAAGATAAAACCCAAAATCAAACAAAAGCTGGTCTGCATCTTCCAGCTTGGCCGTCTGAAAAGTGGCCAAAACCCTTTTAAATCCAGCCAACATAACAGCCTTTATTTTTCTTTTTTTCTTTTTATTTTGCAGGATAAGCCTAATATTTCAGGTAAGGAGATTCAAATCTCTCTTTTGAATAAAATTGAATTGAGTTCTATTTAGTTGGTGTTGGTAATAGTCTAATGGCTGGCGCTCTAAATCATTAGCTGAGGCTGAACGTTTGGTTTATTGGGCACCAGCGCGGGGCCGGTTCTCCCAGGAGCCTCGTTCTCAGTGTGACGTCTCCGTCTAGGGGCCGTGGTGCAGGGCTGGGAGAGAAATGAAGAAAACAGAGGTGCACTTGCAAAGCAGGTCAACCAAACAATTGGCACACACATACACACTATTGAGGCATTTGAGAGTTAAATGACAAACACAATGTTAAAGATATGCACGTATCAACCTTTTCTCAGATGTTGCTTAGTCACACAATAAGAGTATAAAGCTATAAAATGAGCAAGTTAGATTAACTGTGAATCAGTGTTTAAAATCTTAACAAGAATCTACAAACTCACATTTGCATTTACAATTTCACTTTTTTTCACAATTAATTTCACAAACAGCAGTTTTTTTCAGCTATAGCATGAAGTGCAATGCGCTGCTCCTACACGCCGAGTAACACAGAAGGAAACGTCCCAAGTGATTTGCACTGCCACAGTAAATCATCTCTAATGAATGAGAGGTTGTATATGAAACGGCGTATATCTCCACGAGAGGAGTGCCGTAGATCTCAGAGCCCCAGAAAGCTGAGGAATTCATGTGTTCTCCTCCTGAGATAAATCATACACTCTTCCAGATCTGCTCGCGTTTTCTGTTCACCTCCAGAGAAAAACACCCACAGATGCGGACAAGAGTGGAAAGAATGAGGGAAATGCTGTACATTCTCTAAATAGACTAATTCTGCCCATGCATATTTAAATAGGAGCAATTTTACTGAATTTTTAATGCTAAAGGCAACCATCACTTTTATACAGCTTGTTTGATAAGTGGTTGGTTAGTTATATCTGCATGGCAACCACCCTTGCATCATAGCTACCATATCACAGACACCAGAGACAACTTGAACATCTCAAGATTGATTGCAATCACTCAGAACACCTTAATAGAAACCACATAGCAACACCCTGGCAACCACTCTATCATCATGGCAACCATATCATGTAGACTTGGCACCAATGGAACACCTCACAATTTCTTGGAATCACTCAGAACACCTTAGCAACTGCATAGCAACACCCTGGCAATCACTCTATCATCATGGCAACCATATCATGTAGACTTGGCACCAATGGAACACCTCACAATTTCTTGGAATCACTCAGAACATCTTAACAACTGCATAGCAACACCCTGGCAACCAACCTTGCATTATAGCTACCATCTCACAGATACATGGGACAACTAGAACATATCAAGATTTCTTGGAATCACTCAAAACACCTTAGCAACCACAAAGCAACACCCTGGCGACTACTCTAGCGTCATAGTTACCATATCATGGAGACTTGACACCACCTCACAATTTCTTGGAATCACTCAGAACACCTTCGCAGCTACACAGCAACACCCTGGCAACCACCCTTGCATTGCTACCATATCACAGACACCTGAGACAACTGGAACATCTCAAGATTAAATTGCAATCATTCAGAACACCTTAGCAGCTGCATAGCAACACCCTGGCAACCACTCTAGAATCATAGCTACCATATCACAGATACATGGGACAACTATAACATATCAAGATTTCTTGGAATCACTCAAAACACCTTAGCAACAGCATAGCAACACCCTGGCAACCACCCTAGCATCATAGCTACCATATCACAGACACCTGAGACAACTGGAACATCTCAAGATTAAATTGCAATCATTCAGAACACCTTAGCAGCTGCATAGCAACACCCTGACAACCACTCTAGAATCATAGCAACCATTTTATAGAGACTTGGTAACACAGGAACACCTCAAAATTTCTTGAAATCACTTAGAACACGTTAGCAACTGCATAGCAACACCACGGTTACCACACTAGCATCATAACAACAGGTTTTTCAAGGGCAAACCACTCACATTTTCTTTATATGTAAAAATCTAGCTACCGCACTGTGCACCAGCGCTATATAGAGCTCCTGACACAATTAAGCTTTGTCTAGACGTCTTTAAAACCATTGAATTCCAGCAGATTAGAAGGTCCAATTAATCTAGTAGAGTTGGCAGAGGTACAGGAGACCGAGACAGGCCGCTAAAACTGTGGTCGGGCTCTTTCGTGGAGAAAAAAAACGTGCATTAAAACTGCATTGGAAAAGTAGGGAAATGTCAACAAATGCAATACGGAAAAAAAGCCACTTTAAAACAAAACTTATCCCAGTCACGGCTCTCTCTGTGTTTATTTGTGTCATCACTCAAGAGTGACTGTGGTAGGTACAGCGCAGGATGATATTGCTGTAACGTTATATGCAGGATTATTTTGAAATGACACACAGTGGTTTTCACACCAGTGGGACGTGTGCAAGAAGACTATGACACACACCGGGGTGGGCTGATGGCAGAAGAGTCAGACGCAGGTATTGTCCCGCATCACTGCGGCAGAAACCCCACAGGAGGCGAGCGCTGGGCAGTGTGTCATGGAAACCAAACAAAACCATGGCAAACCCGAGAATATAAGAGCAGCATAAAAAAAGATAAGCAAATAAAATGAGCACAGCAAACTCTTTCACCATTTTCTCACTCTCAAGTTGTACCAAACTCACTCACATGACTTTCTGCTCTGG